GTATAGAACTAATATAATACTTTTGTCGTCCCCGGCTTTTGTGCAGTTCACTATTACTAATACATAAAACTTTTGGCAACCAACAGATAATTACTGGCATGGTACATAGATCACCTTCTGTCACTGTACATATATATGAGTTTTTGTCATGGTACATAGATGCACTTTTGTCTGGGTACATACAACACCTTTTGTCATGGTACAGATTACGATGGTAATTTGTACCATGCCAAATGGTCATTTCATATGGTAGTAAATGTAATTTTTGTATACGGAGGGCTTTGATTTTTGTATAATTCTATATTTTATATGGAATTATTATTTTAGTTTGGACAATAGTTGGTTTGTATGTACTTTGACAGTTAAAATTATTTATTTTTTGTATACGGATATAGATTGTGGAATAATTGATACTATATGTATCATTTTATTTATATATGTATTACAGGTTGCATGGAATATAGACAGGTTATGGAGAAATTATAATATTTGCAATAAAACGTAATGTCATGTTTTTTATGACTAAAAGTTTTGTAACAAAAAAAGAAAATCAAACATTTGGCGACTAAAAGTTTTGTAGTCAAAAGAAAATTAAATATTTGCTGACTATGACATTTCGTAGCTAAAACCAAAAGTTGAAGAATAAAAATACTTTTGCCGATTAAAAATTTAGTAGTAAAAAATGTTAGAATTTAGGCGACTAAATGTTTAGTAGTCAAAACAAAAATTATTTGCCCACTAAAATTTTAATAGCAAAAAATGTGGAAGTTTTGGCGACTAAATTTTTAGTAGTCAAAATAAAAATTATTTGCCGACTAAAATTTTAGTAGCCAAAAAAATTTGACTTTAGACGACTAAAATTTTAGTAGCCAAAACACTATTATTTACTTTAGGCGACTAATATATTTAATAGCTAAAAACTTTTTCTGCAACTAAGTCTTTTGTCGTTAACAATAATTGAGGCTTTTGGTGAAAAAAAATTGGTCGCCGAAAATGTATTATTTAATTTTTTTTCCCAACCTTTCGGCGACTAAAAATTTAGCCGGCAAATGAATACATTTGGCGACTAAATTTTAGTCGCCAATTAGCTTTCCTGACAACTCTTTGGCTACTAATTCTGCGACCAAAAAATTTAGTCGCTAAAGTCCTTCAGCAACTAAAAATTGACTTTTGGCGACTAAAAATTTAATCGCCAAAAGTAAAAATTCTTGTGGTGAGCTTTGTTCCAGTTGGCTCAGCTTTGTTTGAACTATTCTCGATTCTTTAGCCATCTTGTTCTGATCTCAAGGCTTCTTTCTGCAATGTCCCTAGTCTTCGTCTTCATCCCAAATCGGCTCCATTGGCTTCACTACATGATTTGGCTCGTTTTCTTTGTCATTGTTGTTGGTCTAGTGACATGGGACTTGATTTTTAGTCATCTCAACCAATGAATTTACAAAAAAATTACAATCACAATGCTCAATTTGTTGACAAGTTTGGAGGGACTAGGACCAGAACAGGGACTAGGACTGGAATTGGATCAGGAATTGGGACATATAGAGGTGTAGTATTCTCATTGATCATCATAATGATATTAATACCACTCAAGAAATGCGTTGTGAGTTTTCATGTTGATCTTCATGTATTGTTTCTCACACCTTGTTGGCAAGTGATATATACATTAGAGTGAATTTAATATGGCGTGAGCTCTAATTTTCAGTAAGTCCTGAATTCAAGTTTTGTTTTTTCTCTGATTGTAGATTCTGTTGTGTTTGTCTACATTGACTGTCAATTGATTTTTAATTAGAATTCTATTTGAATTAAGTAGTGATTGTGGTTATAGTTGTTACACAATTCAAACATAGAACACAGGACAGATGAGTGTTTCTCAGTAAAGAGCAATGAAAGCGAACACCATTGTTTTAGAGTTATATATGGCCATCTTGTCCTCTGCTCTATATTGCTACTAGAGTAAGAGTTTAATTTTAAAATAATTTAATAAGAATAAAGAAAGAAAGAAGGTGAAAAGAGAGAGATTTTTTATGAAAACATTTCTTTGTCCAATAAAGGTTGTGGTTCTATGGCTAATTCCAATCCCAATTTGTTACTTTTAATTGTATTTGCCCATTCTATTTTTTTTCAAATTTTCAATCTCTTAGCTAAATTATTCAAGCTTTCAACTAAACTTTTAAATGATTTGGCCAAAATTTTACAGAATTTGAGTACAATAATTGGAAGTTTGCAAATTGTTTTCTAATTAATATTTTATCCTTCTTTTTTTCTTTTTTCTTTTTTTGTAATTTAACAACCGTGTTTATCTACAAGTTTATTTTTATGCAGATTAAAATTATATTTGGATCTTGGACTTGAGAAGAAATAGAAAAAGGAAAATTTACAATTTAATGGTTAATTCATAAAATAATTACACATATATGGAGAAGTTTATAATTTTAATTATTAATATTAGGTTGGTCTGACCAAGACCAATTTTTTTTGTATCTAATTCAATAATATATATACATATATTATTTTCTATCTATTATTTATTATAATTTTAAAAGTATGAGCATCTAATTTTTTTTTTATTATATATTTTTAAAATATCTCTCACTTATTTTCTACTTTTTCATAATTCTGAAATACCCTTCTTAACATGTTCCTGAAAAGACACCATATAGCAATAGTCATAGGCACCATGTAGGAACAGACATTAAGACTTGAATTTTTGTCAATGATCGTTTTACGATTTTCATCCTTTAGAAAACTTCATATAATAATAATAATAATATTTGAAATTTTTAAAAAAATCTAATTTAATCCACAATAATGTGACATAATTGATGCTAATATATGTTAATTTTTAATTTGTCACACACTTAACTATAGTAGTAGATATAGTGTCCAATTGTCTTGCCACATTATTATAATTGAATTTGTAGATATAAAATTATGGATCTCTAGCATTTTTCACATAATAATACATAATTTTATGATTGAGTTTTTCAAAAATTCAAATCTAAATTCAAATATAAACTTGAAAGAATTTAACGGGTTTGTGAGGTTCACCACAAGTTCTATTTTAATGATCTGAATTATTCACTTTGTACGACCCTCTTAAATTTTATCGTGATTGTCTAAAAAACATAGTTTATTTTTTAAAATATATTTGCCGTCTATTTTTTCAGAGACGTGTGATAAAATAAAAATGTTATTCTTATCTGATCAATCTAATTTTTTCTTTAAATGATATATACTGAGGGTTCTACAGAATAACCAGTTTGAATCATCGAAAAAGAACTTTTAGTACGTCCCACGAGACCGTCAAGTTCTATCAAATTTAAACTCAACCCTAATTTTAAAAGTTAAAAATTAGTATTATCTACATAGACTGAATAGTCATGCTTATACAAATCATTACAAAATTAAATTGACTAGACACATCTATTCATGAAGAGACACTTTATCTTCTATATAAGGTGTAAGTTCTTCATTATTTTTCACATATACAACTTGTACTTATGTTTACTGTATAAGAGAGAATCCAATCACTTTTCGATAACACATATTTATTTTTGTTACGAGAACTTCTACAAACTCAAAATTCTTACAATAAATTTATTTAGAAAATATATTTGTGGTTGAGATTTATTTTACAAGTAGAATCCATCATTTAAGAATTGAATCTATATCATTCATCAAGATTCTCAATAAATTTTGGGTTTAAGTTTATTCTTTCAAAAATTTCTGCTTAGTTATTCATTGACCAAATCACATTTCTACATCTTTAGTTTACTTTATATCAGTGGTTCTACAGCTTTCTAATATCAAACCTCTCACTTTTCTCATCCACTATGAAATTTTGTTTTGTGTTTGGTTGATAAATCCATATAGTTTATAAATTCACTATAAAATACTATTTTTCTAATGTTTGTTTCCTTTCTATTATTATAAAATTTTCCATTTCAAAAATATAATTACAAATACAACGTGCAACATATGTGTATACTGCCACTAGTAAAAATAAATAATAAAAAAAGGCATTTGGCTCAAAAATCCAATTTAAATTTTTTTTGGGTAAATTACACTGACATGCCCTGAGGTTTCTGTTTAATACAAATCTCCCTCTCACATTTGTAAAATTACATTTACCCCCTGTCAGATTAAAATGACATATTTTCTCTTTGCCTTTATACAAATAAAATAATATAATAATACATATATTTTATTCATGTCATTTCAAAAGAAATAACTGTGATGACCCTAAAAAAAATAAAAAAATAAAAAAATAAAGTGGTGGTGATTGTTTGGCGTGTATGGTCAGCATGAGGATAATGTTTTTGGGGTGGTGGAAAATTATTTGAGAGAGGCTAAGAAAAAAACTTGAGTGGGAAGGGTTTTTATAATATATATCTCTCTCACATTAGGAGAGTGGTTACATTCCAACTGGGGCTTGCTTGCTTTCAGTGGGAAAATGATTAAAAACAAAAAAAGAAAAGAAAAGAAAACAATCAATGGGAAGATGGGTTTTAACAAATATATATATATATATATATATCACCTCTCTTTCTCTCTCTTGACAATGATGAATGGGTGGGACAGGTAGTATTTGATTGTTATTATGGTGCATGATAGACAATGAAAAAAAAAAAGAGGCACCAACTCTTCGAAGGTAAGCTTAGTCTGGTCAACATGGGCATCAGATTGAAAGCTGTTGTAGTGTCCTTGTTCTTGTCATCCCAGTTTTTGCCTTTGGTATTTTTTGCACCCAATGATGGCCTGGTTAGAATTGGACTGAAAAAGATAAAAATTGATCAAGACAACCTTCTTGCTGTTCGGCTTGAGTCCAAGGAACGGGAAGTGCTGAAAGTTTCTACTAATAAGTATAATCACCATGGTAATCTAGGTGAAGCTGGGGAAATTGATATCGTAGCACAAAAAAATTACATGGATGCTCAGTACTTTGGTGAGATTGGTATTGGTACTCCCCCACAAAAATTTACTGTAACCTTTGACATTGGCAGCTCTAATTTGTGGCCTTCATCAAAGTGCTATTTGTTGGTTCCGTGTTTTTTCCATTCGAAGTACAAGTCAAACCAATCAAGTACCTACAACAAGAATGGGAAATCTGCTGAAATTCACTATGGTAGTGGGGCTATATCTGGATTTTTCAATGAAGACCACGTCCAACTTGGTGACCTAGTTGTGAAGAATTAGGAATTTATTGAGGCAACCAGAGAGCCCAATATCATGTTTTTGGTTGCCAAGTTTGACGGTATTCTTGGTCTTGGATTCTGGGAGATCTCAGTTGGAGATTCTATCCCAATGTGGTACAACATGGTGAAACAAGTCTTGTTAGTGAGCCAGCATTTTCATTTTGGCTTAACTGAAATACAAAAGAAGAAGTAGGGGGCGAACTTGTGTTCGGTGGGGTTGATCCAAATCACTACAAAGGTAAGCACACATATGTCCTCGTGATGCGAAAAGGTTATTGGTAGTTCGATATGGGTGACATTCTCATTGGTGGTAAACCTACTGGGTGCAGTGGTACTGGTTGTTCTGCAATTGCAGATTCTGGGACTTCTTTGTTAGCTGGTCCAACGAGGATGGAAAAGGCGTCGTTTGGCTCCAAAAAAATTTAATTTCTGTTGCCGCAAAATTTGAAAGCTTCTTAGCTTGAGGTAGGGATTTTTCCTACACTTATTTATGTACTTTTACTTAATTATATGGAGCTTAGAGTTGTATATAATTTAATTAGAATTTTTGAAAAATTTGTGATTTAATTGCTTAAAAGAGAAATTTTGAGAAAAATAAAGAGTTAATGCCCAAATTGCAGAAGTGTAAACTTGGAATATGTTTGTAAGGTTATGAAAGAGCCATGTTTTAAATTTGAACAAAAACAAACTCTGATTCGATCGGTTTTTTTGAATTTTTTACTGTTTTGCGACCAAAAGAGTATTTTTAAAGAAAACAAAGGAATTACGTTTAACTTTTGGGGCTTT